CGTGAGCCAAGCTATGAGTGGGAGCATCGTCCACGCAGTCCTTGGGGTGATCGAGACGATGGACCGATACGCGGTCGCGACGACAGCAGAGACCGTGAATGCAGCCCTTTGACTGGAGACGACGAGCATGACGATCGAGAGGACAGCGCGAGGAGCATTAGACGCAACTTGACCAAGAACTACACCAAAGAGAACGACCCGTACTGGTACCCGGGCAAGGTATAGAGAAGAGACAGGTTTCATAACACGTTGCATGCCTAACCAACACAAGGGAAAATACTCGCACCCCACCAAGATGCCCTCTCAGAACCCGCACGACCCCAAACCACGAAACCCGAAGCGCACCCAGAGCTGTCGCACAGAATCGTCTGGACACCGTCACCAGCGTTTCGAGCGGAAGCATGAGCGTCGAGAGGACGAGAAGGAACGTCTGCTTAGAGGAGATCTTGGAAGTAAGGCGTCTATTTGCTGCTTTGTTCTATATTTATACGGTGCATTGGCTAACCGTATTGCTCTTCTACAGCCCCGCCTCCCGACGCCGGTCCCAACTGGGCGAAGAACCGTATTGCGACTTTGGAGAAGTATGCGAAGAGGACGAAGAAGAGGCACAAGAAGCATGAGAAGCGTATGCGCAAGGCGGCGGAGCAGGGTTAGGCTTGAGGACGGAGCAAGGTGTGCGGAGAACGAGGAAGATCAGAACGGAATGCTGAGCGCGTAGAAGCGATTCGCTCAGGTCATGGCTATGCTAAATTAGCAGCGACATGTATTATCTCGATATAATTTTGTCGTAGCTATGTCAGACGTTGCGGATGAACATAATAATGTAAATGCATTCACATCATCGAATGAGCCGTTCATCTCTTTTTTTCCCATTCAATTCCCGAATACGTTGCAGACTACGGTAGCAAAAGAATGTTAGTATGGAAGGTTATAAAGAACCTTGACGCCTACATTCAAGAGAGTGCATTTTGGGTGTACGTACTCCATTATCATGTATGAAGCAGAAGGTATTCAATGACTGTTTTCCATTACGTGGGGTAGTCATGTAGACATTATAGTACTCTCAACCGCGACCATCTATCTAGTCTCTACCTAATGTAGCCCTCTCCATGGCCTAGGTCTTTACAACAAACTTCAGGCCCATACTCTCTGCTGTGTATCTTGACAGTCAAGAACGCAATTGGAAAGTATCAGAAGAGACTTCCGCCTTGATCAACGTACTGGTCTTGACATACTACTAACCGCGCAGATCGCAGGTCGAACGAGCTCTTGGATATCGAGAATAGGCGTGTCCATCGTATTTCCCGTTGCCATTGCACCGATCTGCATCGCCATGCCCATCACTGTGATACCGATCCATCAGGGCGCAGTACCTTCGGCAGCATGCTTCATGCGTCGCTTTGCGCAACAGTCGTACGATGAGGAAGGCGGGGACTCCGGACTTGGAAGGAAAGATGCAGTTTTGCGCGCCCAGTTCTCGTTGGTTGTCGTCATCGAGGTTATTGTGCTACACCATGCGTGTCGATCGGAGATGTTCACAAGCGGTAGTTGTCGCTATGATGTCGGTTATAATGTCGCGTAGGAAGTCTGAAGTATTGAGTAGAGAACATTCATGAGAGTTTGGAAGTGTATCAAGCCACTTTGCAAAGCTAGCTAGGTAGGTACGCTCGGTGCTCACGAAATAAAGGGTAAGAGCTTTGGAGAAATCGCGTTTGCACTCCTACAAACGACATATTACATATTCTTGCGATCGTCCAAGATCGGAGACATTCGCAAAGAGCGGTGTAGACAACCCTGGCGTCTATATTTTCGTTTCAATATACAATGGCATGATGCTGCTGTTGTGCTACATGCACTAGCCGATCTACCCACGACCTGCTCCGCGGCAACATCATTACAAACCAAGAATGCCCTCGAGGTCAACAATATAAGAACACGTCCTTGCACGCGGATAATGGAAGCATCGCATTCGGCATACGATACAACTATTACATCACCAATCTTTACAAAAACTGCCACTCAAACTTCAACCCACCAAACTACCCAACATGCCTGCATCCAACCAGGGCTCCAACACCGGTAATACTGGCGGCAGCTCCAAGGGCTCTGCCCCAATGAGTCAGTCTGATGCCAGCAGGATTCAATCCGCCAACGTGGGTCTTACCATCATGTCTCGCTGAACTCTACACCTTTTCCAATGCTGACTTTCTTTTCTTCACCTAGGCCAAGAGCGGCGGCGACATGTCTTCCGGTGGCTTTGCCGCTCGCGCCCAGGGTGCTGGAGACCGCAACGCGAATGCTGGCGGTCAGCAGAGCGGCGGCACCAAGAAGTGAGATGTCATTCGACGCACACTCTAGGATCGAGTCAAGAAGGAACGGAAAGGACTTTCATTGAGGGAGGGCTTACTTTATGCATTCAGAATGTCTACACGTCAGCTTTGATCGGGAGTAGATAGAAAACAATGTGAATGCATTCATACAATAAACGAACGAGCCGTCAATCGCGTTACATACTACAACAGCAAGAGAAGTGTGATTTGCAGATTTACATAGGACCTTGACGTCTACATGAACGTTAAGCCTTTTTACGTGTGCACAGTTTATTGCTATGTAGTTATCAAGCTGCGCGTATCTGCGCCCGCCTAAATAACCTCTTCCTAATGTAGTCTTATCCATGCATCCTGTAGACCCCATCACAGCCTCCATACCACGACTTCCTCTCCTACCACCCCCAGCCTAAATGTACTGAACAGTGACCTGCGAGCCGCTGTTGATAGTAACATCAGTATAAACAGTGCTACCCTGCTTAAGATCAATAATAGTAGCACCGCTCAACCCATCCGTTCCACCAGTGCTCAGGCTAGCACTCGCCTGCGTGAACACAACAGTACCAAAGTTGCTCAGCGCAACCAAGCTACCTCCAGACTCAAAGTCCTCTACAATCCACTCTGCATTCTGACGGCATAGCACAGAGCCACTGGGTGCGCTAAGCGTCTGGCTGACCTTCTTTCCCGTGCTCACGTTGGTGAGCGAGACTGTACCCTTGGTGGTGGAGGTAGCGACGATGTCGACTTGGATGACATTACCGGCCTTGACGGCGAAGTTGCTGAAGTCGTAGGCGTAGTCGGGGTACCACTCGTACCAGGCGTCGTAGGAAACGGCGCCGGAGCTGCTGACGGTAAAGTCGATACCTGCTTGAAGCAGACCGCTGCCACAGGTATCGCCGTCGATGCCGACCCAGGCTGAGGAAGACTCGGTTCCGCCGGAGCCAACGTGCTTGGGTGTGGGCACGGTGAAGCGTCCGGTGGCTGACTTGAAGTAGCCGGAGGAGGGGGTCTCGAGAACGGCACCGGACCAGTTGGAGGAGTAGTCGACGTGGGCGGTGGTGTTGTCGACGTCTGCGACGAACTTGGCGTTCTCTTTTGCGGCTGTGCCGACCAGAATCATAGGCTGGGTCCTGTGACGGCGACTGCCATCAGCACGGGATTGAACGCGCTCAGCGAGAGAGGAGGGACGGGCCAGAACGGAGCCAGAGATGGCGGCGATGATAGCGATGGAAAGCTTCATGATGAAGGGTAGGATGATCTTGCGGGACTGAGAAGGTAGTCAAAGCGAGAGAAGGGATCGAGAGTAGAACTATAGACTGCAGAAGCGAATGCTGCGTTGATGAGTGAAGTGTAACCAGCGGCCTTCGACACTCCTTATATACTTCCCAAGTCGAGCCCGTACTTCATATCGTATACCTACACGCGAACTCGTTATACGATGGCGCGATAGTCCAGATCCAGCACCTGATGATACCTTCCTAATACCTACTGGTCAGGCGCATAGCTATCCAGCTAGACTCATTCTTCATGGTGGGTTGGAGAGCGGCGTTCAAGGTCGATCAGGTCCATTGCCGAGATACGACATACTGATAGGTAGTTCGGAACATTTGGCGAGGGCCTCTTTACCAGGCGATCGGTGGATTGCCGGGCTCGACAAGGGTATGAGTGGGTAGTTGGCATGTGAGTTGACTCGGTAAGTATCAGAAGACCCTGATAATGATTCTCCTGGTGTATGGGACGAAGTCCGCCTATCAGAGCACTGACCTGCCCACCATATTTTCGTATGAGTGTCCGACCTCGTGGTTGTCGTGCTTGCATTGACAGGTCCTCCTGCCTCTCTGGGAAACCGCCCGATCGCTCTCTTGTAAACTCAACAGCGGACGGAAAATGCGTAGCGGCGGCCATTCTGTTCGGTTGTATCGCGAGCTTCTGTTGAATCTGCAGGCTCTCTTTACGTAGTGAAGATGATGTCTTCGACTGTTTCATGCTTTCTTTCTGCTTCACGGTAGTAACACATTCCACACTGTGCCTCGGCTCTCAATCACATCGAAATTCGCAATTATGAGTGTGAAACAGCCCTACACATGGACGGATAGGACTTCTAGCGTAGATATGCCGGATAAATTAAATGCAGCAGAAGCTTGTCGTTGCTTATCAGTTGGCGTGTGACTTGGCAAGGATTGGTGTGGTGGTGCTAGTACGGGATAGGAAGTTCGTGATAGGTGTTGCCCGGCGTGCACACCTGAAGGGTAGTAAGGCATCCATCTGCCAAGTTAGCTTGCGAAAGCTTGTTCGCGGCGAAATGCTTGAGTTGAGAAGGTGTGATGGTTGGTGTTGAGAAGGGTGGTTCGAAATAGACAGGTCGACGGTCCGATCGGAAAGACCCGTGGACATTGCGCCATTGGGTTGCGGCTGAGCCTCGGCATTACGAGCCAGCCGCACAAACAGCCGGACTGCGACATCGTTGCAACGCCATTAAGACCAGAGTTGTACAGATCATTATGTGGACGAAATTCTGTTTTGTAGCAGAGGATAACAAGAGGTCATGCCGTATTACTGCATACATTGGTGTTGTAAGTCAAGAAATGAAAGGTATCAAAAGCGATGTATACTTCAAGTCAGTATGTGGTATTTCATTCTTGAGATATGGAGCCCTTGTCGGCGTCTAGTACATCAGTCCCTTCCCAAAGTCGCCCTTTCCATCGCCTCAGTGAGGAAGTCCTTCTGCACATCCTGCATAATCTTCAGAGCATTAGCTACCGTAATCCAAGGCTTCCTAACCTCATCAGGCAAAGCCTGCTCGACCACACCGTCCTCGATATCGACAAGAAGGTCTGTAACCGGGCTCTGATCCATCCGGACAGGCTTAGTATCGACAAACACGCCTGGAACAACCCCACCCTTGTTCCACTCCGCCTCCTGCTCCGCCTCCGCCTCCTTCCGCTGCTCCTCCTTCTTCATCTTGGCAAAGACCCAGTGCAGAACCAACATGGGACCTTCCTTCTTGAACAATTCGCGGGGTACCTCGTTCGAGAGGACCATCGCGTAGAAGGACTCGGGTCGAATAGTCGTCAGCTCGGACACCATCTGCTTCATTTGCCACACTGCCTTGAACATCTCTCGCCTTGCTTTCTCGGGGAAGTAGACTAGATCGAAACCGCTGTCCATCCAGAGCCGAACAAGTTCCTCCTGGAAGGAGTGCTCATGTACGTCCAGGCCGCAGGTCTTAGAGAGCCAAGCCTCAATGTATGCTGAGATGAAGGCGTCGGCGCCGGTATCGTAGAGGCTGCTCGCATCGAGACCGAGTTGCTTGGAGATCATGATGAAGGCCATGAGGATGATGTTGAGACGTACGACGTCAATCCGATTCGACAGGCAATGTTGCTTCGAGACCTGCAGTGGTAGGGGTACGAAGTCAGTATATGTCTCACATGCACTTCGTACAGCCAAAACTTACCTCGTAGTACCAAATCGCACGATTGACTTCCAGGGACTTGGAGGAGTGGGCGCGGTAATTGCCGCGGGCGATGTCGTTGAAGTTCCGAAAGAAGAAGTCTAGCTGTAGGTGTTTGGGGATGCTGGGGATGTCCAAGGTACTGCTGTCATTCTCGTAGACATCATGAATGCCGATAGGTTGAGCGAATACGGCATCGTGTACCCTGGAGAGCTTGATGTTGAAGTTGTTGCGCGCCTTTGCGTCAAGAGCGGCGAAGTTGAGGGTGCTGGAGGAGTTTGAGCTAGCCATGGTCGTTGTCCAGTGCAGTCGCAGTCGCAGTAGCTAGATGGTAGGTTGATGGGAGAGGGAAGAAGAAGAGGAGCGAGCGTAGAGGGATTATATATCAAGATTGCGGAGGTGAGCGCGAGTTGACCGTATCTTGCGGTCGAGACGCGGAGAGGAAAAGTGGGGCTGAGGTGAGAGAGCAAACGGCCTCTCGCGAGGGACCGCACACTCACCTCTAATGTGCAAAAAGAGAAAAGAGCAGTAAAAAGAACAGACTGTCGCTTCGTATATGTCTACAGAAGCATAGTAAAAGACATATCATGGTCAAAAAAAAACTTTCCAAAGACAAGCATACCTAAGAGGCCAGTCAACTGCCTGACAGCTCGCTCTCTATAGAGACAGCTTACCGTCAGACTAGACCAGCGATTTAACGCTATCAGAGGTCAGAGGACAGAATCGAACTGTCGTACGGGGTAAATTACTTCCTAGGAAGCGGCTCACCAGACCATTGAGGATCAATGTCATCGATGGGAATTAGTATAAGCTTGTGATAAATATAGCCTGAGAATTGCGCTTCTGTTACTTGTGATAGTATGAGAGTAAGAGGTGGTTATGATTGGGGTTGTATGGCTTTGGTGCGCAGTGAAGGTGGAAAGGTGAAGGACAGGAAAAGTTGCACGTGTGATGGAGTTGAGGACGAACACCAACAACAAACACAACACGATCCCATGATGACTATCGATTATCGGACACCGTCCGATTTTCAATAACGCGGCGACGATATAAACAACAAAGTTGTGCGAAATGAGAGGGAGGAATGTGGAGGGGTTGGCTCAGCTTCGCTCGATCAGAATGCCATGGCTGCGTGCGTGCGGCGTAGCAACCACAGCGTCATTAGCTTCAAAAGCGCTGCCTGATCCTCAGCTTCACTTCGATGAATACTCATCACTACTCGCAAAGTCTTACCAGGCAAAATACTCCGCCAATCGAGTATGTCAGCTCCGCCTGCTACACGCACCCGAATGACTTCCAGTTCGAGGACTGCATGTACGGTTTATTCATACCCATCCCATGGCGGCATCATCATGAAGAGCTTTACAAACCCCGAGCTGGAGCACCTTGGCCTCTCGCGCACAAATTCAGACCCAGGACCGTTCTCTGACCAAGAGCAAGAAGACGCGTTCGCACTACGTATGCTCCACCTAGGCGCGCGTTGGTGGCCATCCCTCAAGTTCTACGACCGCCACACAAGAGACGAACCATATCCTTACGGCCACCACTTCTCATCCGACCTGCATGTTGCCTACACGCCTACCGGCTCTGGTCTTTGGGTTCTAGCAGTATGGGCCGAGAACTCGCAAACATGGTTGGAAGAATACGATCCGCCCCGAAAGCCCGAAGACTGGGTGGACTTGGCGTATTGCAGAACGATGGAGGAGCGATGTAAGATTTTGGAAGAGTTTGGCGCGACATTTTATGAGGATGTCGAGCAGTGTGATAAGCTGCCGTGGAATTTGGATGAGGGGGTCAGGGAAGGCAAGAGATACGAGGGGCTGCTGCGGAAGATGGAGGATGATAAGTATCTCGACGATTGGATGATGAGCCTATGATTGGAAAGGTATCTGCCATGCGGACGACGTTTTGGATTAAGGCACTGGCTGACATGGTGTCTATCGTCTTGATGCATATATACTCTTTATGATGAAAAGGACAAAATGTATACAAGACGATGTATTCTTCCACGTACCATGTGTAGTACAACATGAACGATAATGCTTTCTTGTTGGCGTCTAAGGCATGGATTGTGCCATGCACTAACAGCAATATTTAATCAATATCTGATGGTATCACTCAGTCACAACGAGCACATCAATCAAGCAACAATTGTACAAAGACTTTTCGAATTCCATTCGTCGTGAATGCTATATTTACATCAAAAGAAGAGCTAGCCGATCTCGCGGTCTATGGAAGAAAGAGTATGGGGGGTTTCCCATCAAAGAAGATACGTCTCAAAAAGGACCAACCATGAACACCAGTTCATGCAAGAAAGATCGACTTGCGACCATTTGTAGAAAGCGCTTACAAGTTGAAAGCGCGGGCATGGCGGCGAGCCTTGGAGGCAGAGCTGCCGGTGGCGGTCTTGAGCCACTGGATGAACTGCTCAATGGTGAAGGTCTCGGGGAGAGCAGAGCCGCTGCCGGTGGAAGGAGAGGGGGTGGCAGCGGGCTTGGTGGCAGAGGGAGCAGAGGGAGCGGCCGACTCGACGGGAGAGGGAGTGGCGGAAGGAGCGGCGCTGGAGGCGGGGGTGGAGGGGGCAGCCGACTCAACAGGCTTGGAAGGGGTGGAAGGAGCGCTGCCGGCGGTGGCGGCGTCCCAGACCTTGGGACCGGGGACGGTGTAGTCGGTGGCACCGCCGTAGATGTTGAACATGACACCGGGGTCGGTGGCCTTGTAAGCCTTGGTCATGTCGACACCGGTGGCGGGGAGAGCAGCAGAGCCGCTGCCAGTGACCTTGATTTGACCGCAGCCGTTGTAGAACTGGGCCTTGCCCTCGGCGCTGGCCTCGTGGAGACCGATCATCTCGGGGCGGATGAGGTAGTCACCAGCCTCGAGGTTGGGGAGGTCAATCTCCAAGAGTCCCTTGGAGGAGATGAGGTTGTCAACACCCCACTTGGAGCCGGTGAGACCGTCCTCGTAGATCTTGGTCCAGACGGCACCCTCGCCGTTGGTGTCGGCCTTGGCGATGTAGACCATGACGGGTCCCTTGTGGGAGGGAGCGATCGGGTCGTCACCGTCGCCAGCGGAGGCGGGGTCGTTGTGGTGCCATTGCATGCCGAGCTTGGAGCCAGCGGCAACCTCGACCTGGTCGGAGGTGGCCTTGCCACCGTTGCAGATCATGGCAGTGGAGGTGACATCGAGGATGGGGTTGTTGCCGTTGGAAGGAGTCTGGACAGCGAAGTGCTGGCCCTGGTCCTTGCCGTCAATGACGAAGCTCTGGAAGGTGGTGTGCGCAGCGGCGAGGTTGGCAGCAGCCAGGATGATAGCAGTCTTGGTGAACATGTTTGCGGTTGGTGTGTTGGTTGGTTGGTTTGAAAAGGTTGAGCGTATCTTCAAAGATAGAATGGAAACGAATGAATGATAGACGAATGGATCGAAAGTGAGTGTAATGCTAAAGAGCGTGTGAAAGTGAGTGTCAGCGTCAAGCTTGATGCCCTCTCATTGTCGATGGCCTCTGTATCTCTTATACTCCCTCCGCCTACACGGCACAGTTGCGCCATGACAAGATTAGTGCCTCACTGACAGAATCCTGACAGCGCCAACGACATGAAACCCGGGTCTGTGGATTGATGCCAAGCACCTGTCAATCTATTCAGCACTGCGCTAGGGCCCGAACCGGCAGCGTGGCTTCGGTTAGCTGCCGCAGAACGTTGAATCCAGGTCTGCTCCGTTCCTACGCCCCATAATATGTGATGAGCTATTGTCAAGGAGAGATTTGAAGGCGTCGCCTCCATGCATGTGCCTGGAGGTGGCCTGTATCAGGCGTTGCGCAACGAATAACGGGAGAGCCTCATGGGAAACGTGAAACCATGTCGGAAAAGCTTGATCGGTTGAAGTCTGGCTATCCCAGGCGTTTAACGAAACGTCATGCGCTGAAGCGCCAACATGTTCTGCTGTCAATGCTACTCGCATCCACATGTTCGCAGTTGATTGTTTGCTTGTGCCATAACGTTATGTCGGAGACCGATTGGTACTTACCGCTGCGTGCTCCCATCGTCACCGCCACACTACGCAATCTCCCTACTCTCCATCCCTTATGCCACCGGTCTACAATGACTCTCATTTCGTTGATCCGGTATTCTAGATCCTGCAGTTCGACGGGAAAGCAACCTCGGTGGTGGGGCGAAAACTTCGCTAAGGGTGTATTCGTTTGCGCGACAACATGAAACAAATTCCTTCAGTGGGGGAAATTGCGCGCCTGTACCTGCCAAGACAATGGTGATGTTTCGACACTTCCGAGGCATCGCTTTAGACAATACCGTTTTCGCAGTCGGGTCGTGACGCCATCTTCGTTTTGCTTAAGCACGAAAGAACCACCGGCTATACTATCGTCCTGCATAGATAGTCGAAATGCCGCACCCGTGCTTCGAGATAATGTAAAGTGCTGCGCCGCTTGACGAATGAACGGAGATGAGGCGCTTAAATGAGGAACGCAAAACGCGCCCTTGCGGTATGTTGTTTTTGTCGTTTGTGGAGCTGAGCGTTGCGCCGTTGCACGTTGTCGCGTATGTGCGTAGTGGCTTGCAGTAACATTACCGCCCCGTGGTGGTGGCCTTCTCCAACATCAATTGAGAGTCCCTTCACCTTTAAGTACCTGTTCGACACTCAAAACGTGCTCAATAGTTCTCATTGTCTACCAACCATCCCAATCCCTGGGGTATTATTAACTGATGCGCCACTCTCTAACCGGTACCTCTTCCACCTACCAGATCCTGTCTTTGACAGGCGTTTTGGATGATGAGGTCGTTGCGCTGCGATCGTGCATGTGCCGCCGCGAATGGATTAAACGCCGATGATGATCTTGTTGTACACGTGGTATCACTTACCGGTGATAACCCGAGGACGCCCAAATAATGCTCATTATACCCATAGAAAACCATGAATCCATGTCGAAAACCGTTCAACATGCTACGCACCCTGAAGCAAAGCAAGAAATGATAGACAGTGCAAGCAACATTAAGCTCGGGTAGTCCGAGTGGGATGCTGCGCCCTCCTTCGTACTCGTCGCTGTCGCCTGTCCGTCGGGCTTACTGGCCCTTGCGCTTGGGCTATTGGTGGTTACGCTTTGAAGGCGGGTCGTGGTAGCGGGAAACAACGCGCTTTTTGTAGTACGTCCTGAAGATCCGTAAAGTAACTCTGTCGCCCCCCACGCAAGACTGATCGTTGTGCCATCGACGGTAATTGTGCCTCCTGGCGTCAAAGTCTGTCCTTCGATGATGAAGACCGTCCCACTCCCTGATTCTGCA